ATGAGGTCAATTTTTTTTATTGGAGTTAAAATTAACGTAGATATATGACCGAACCTAACCAACCCTACCTAACCTAACCTAACCTATATTTATAGGTAAGGTTAGGTTAGGTAGCCAAAAAAGCTAGGTTAGGTTAGGTTAGGTAGGTTAGGTAGACGAAAAAACATTAATTCATGAAAACTTGGCTTATTAGGCAAATCGGGCCTTGAATAGTAGGCTGAGAAGTGCGTTCTGGCTATTAGGTACGACATATATATATTATATATATATATATATATATATATATATGTCGTACCTAGTAGCCAGAACTCACTTCTCAGCCTACTATTCAAAGCCCGATTTGCCTAATAAGCCAAGTTTTCCTGAATTAATATATTTACTATAATTTTTTTTCTTATGAAATGATAAAGCAACCCTTTTCTCTATGTATGAGGTCAATTTTTTTTATTGGAGTTAAAATTAACGTAGATATATGACCGAACCTAACCAACCCTACCTAACCTAACCTAACCTATATTTATAGGTAAGGTTAGGTTAGGTAGCCAAAAAAAGCTAGGTTAGGTTAGGTTAGGTAGGTTAGGTAGACGAAAAAACATTAATTCATGAAAACTTGGCTTATTAGGCAAATCGGGCCTTGAATAGTAGGCTGAGAAGTGCGTTCTGGCTATTAGGTACGACATATATATATATATATATATATATATATATATATATATATATATATATATGTCGTACCTAATAGCCAGACGCACTTCTCGGCCTACTATTCAAGGCCCGATTTGCCTAATAAGCCAAGTTTTCATGAATTAATGTTTTTTTCGTCTACCTAACCTTCCTAACCTAACCTAACCTAGCTTTTTTGGGCTACCTAACCTAACCTTACCTATAAATATAGGTTAGGTTAGGTTAGGTAGGGTTGGTTAGGTTCGGTCATATATCTACGTTAATTTTAACTCCAATAAAAAAAAATTGACCTCATACATAGAGAAAAGGGTTGCTTTATCATTTCATAAGAAAAAAAAATTATAGTAAATATATTAATTCAGGAAAACTAGTCTTATTAGGCAAATCGGGCCTTGAATAGTAGGCTGAGAAGTGAGTTCTGGCTACTAGGTACGACATATATATATATATATATATATATATATATATATATGTGTCGTACCTAGTAGCCAGAACGCACTTCTCAGCCTACTATGCAAGGCCCGATTTTGCCTAATAAGCCAAGTTTTCCTGAATTAATATACTTTCTCTAATTTTTTTCTTATGAAATGATAAAGCTACCCATTTCATTATGTATGAGGTGAATTTTTTTTTATTGGAGTTAAAATTAACGTAGATATATGACCGAACCTAACCAACCCTACCTAACCTAACCTAACCTATCTTTATAGGTTAGGTTAGGTTAGGTTGCCGAAAAAGTTAGGTTAGGTTAGGTTAGGTAGGTTAGGTCGTCGAAAAACAATTAATTCATGAAAACTTGGCTTACTAGGCAAATCGGGCCTTGCATAGTAGGCTGAGAAGTGCGTTCTGGCTACTAGGTACGACATATATATATATATATATATGTCGTACCTAGTAGCCAGAACTCACTTTTTGGCCTACTATTCAAGGCCCGATTTGCCTTATAAGCCAAGTTTTTCCTGAATTAATATATTTTTTCTAATTTTTTTCTTATGAAATGATAAAGCTACCCATTTCATTATGTATGAGGTCAATTTTTTTTTATTGGAGTTAAAATTAACGTAGATATATGACCGAACCTAACCAACCCTACCTAACCTAACCTAACCTATATTTATAGGTAAGGTTAGGTTAGGTAGCCAAAAAAGCTAGGTTAGGTTAGGTTAGGTAGGTTAGGTAGACGAAAAAACATTAATTCATGAAAACTTGGCTTATTTGGCAAATCGGGCCTTGAATAGTAGGCTGAGAAGTGCGTTCTGGCTATTAGGTACGACATATATATATATATATATATATATATATATATATATATATATATATATATATATATATATATATATATATATATATATATACTGAAAGCTCCACACCACAGAAGGATTCGAACCCAGACAGCCAGGAGCACATGCGCCATGGCTTACCCGGTTCTTTAACCACTCGACCAACAAACGGTTGTTTATCAACCGTTTATTGTAGTTGATAAACAGCCGTTTATCAACCACAATAAACGTGGATAATATCATTTCATTCACTTAAGCACTAGAAGCCTCGAACCACTGACCCGCCAGGAGCTGGAGACAGTAACTCTATCGACCACACCACGAACAACCTCTCAACCAGGCGGCTGTTTATCGTGGTCTGCAAACTTTGTCTGAGGCCAACAAGGCATATATCAGCATGTCTGCCAAGGATCAAGACTCCCCTGACTAGCTAAGTGCCCCCTGCAAAAGGATCACTGCAGTATCAAGACTTCGCTCCCTTGTCTTGGAGTATGAGTGGTATAACTGGGACTGCTGCTGGGGAAGCTGGGACTACTGCTGGGGTAACTGGGACTGCTGGGACTACTGGGACTTGCTGTAAAAGCTGGGACCCCTACTCCAGGGTAGACTGCTACAGCAGACCCAGTTCTCCGTGGGATTCACCCATTTTCTAATTAGAAAGAGTAAAGTTTAAAATATAACTACCTTCGTCGCAAAATCAAAGTTTGAGAGGAATAATAACTATTCTATAATTAATAAGAATAAGTAATTATAAAAGCAAAAAAACAATACCCACGGACAAATTCTGCTAAGTTCTGTTTGGTAATTATTTACATAATGTAATGAGATTATTATCAAACAATAAGTCCTCGTGGGTCATGTTTACAATTCATTCAGTTATCCCTTCGATTAATTTATACATTTTCTGGGGACCATTCATTTTGGTAATTGATATCTTCTGGATATACAATTATTTCAACGCACGATTATTTGATGTGCTAATTTTCAAGTATAATATCACCCAATGTTAAATAATATATTAATATCATTAATGTAAACATTACGAAGGCAATTTATATGAAGAGAACAGTGGTAGTCGACTGAGAAGTGCTACACTGATTGATGATTGAGTTATGCAAAGCATCCTGCTGCATCTGGAAATTTTCCTTATTAAGGCTACTCATAGCCCAGTCGATAGTAGAGCTTGGGCGTCACACTCGTAGGGTCCAGGGTTCGAGTCTCCTACAGCCCAGGCCAATGGAAGTGATTGAGTTGTTAAGGTTGTCACGTGACACAGGTTGAAGGCTGCCTATTGGTCTGTACGGCAGTTTAGCTATTAACTGTGACTGGGGGAATAGGGAAGGTCAAATATATAAATATATATATATATATAAATATATATATATATATATATATATATATATATATATATATATATATATATATATATATATATTACTCTATATATATATATATAGAGTATGGGTTCGAGTCACTTCTGGGGTGTGAGTTTTCAGTTGCATATTGTCCTGGGGACCATTCAGGCTTGTTCGCATATATATATATATATATATTTATATGGCTTTTCATATATACCACAACCGAAATACATAATAAAGTCATTAATCAAAGGGTAATTAGAGTGAATTTTTCTCACTGAACGATCCTAATAGTGACACCAATTAGGAGGACTTTTTACTTTTGTGTAACTCTTTCGTATTAATTTTTTTTTTTATATACCGTATTTAAAAGTAATTTTGTTGCTGCGAGCAAATACCATTAAAATTTAACGGTGCCTTTCTTGACCTTTTTTTGATTTTCCCTCATGTCATGATAGACCTTTTTTTATGGCTTTTTATTTTCCATTTTCCGCATTAAACTTTCCAGACTAAACTCACTCGACCTGTCATTCCAGTAATTGATGATAGCATTCCAGTATGCTATCATCATATAGATGATAGCAACTCAACCAGCCAAGCCTAGTGTGATAGCAACTCAACCAGCCAAGCCTAGTATGATAGCAATTCAACCAGCCAAGCCTAGTGTGATAGCAACTCAACCAGCCAAGGCTAGTATGATAGCAACTCAACCAGCCAAGGCTAGTATGATAGCAACTCAACCAGCCAAGCCTAGTGTGATAGCAACTCAACCAGCCAAGCCTAGTATGATAGCAACTCAACCAGCCAAGCCTAGTGTGATAGCAACTCAACCAGCCAAGCCTAGTGTGATAGCAACTCAAACAGACAAGGCTAGTATGATAGCAACTCAACTAGCCAAGCCTAGTGTGATAGCAACTCAACCAGACAAGCCTAGTATGATAGCAACTCAACCAGACAAGGCTAGTATGATAGCAACTCAACCAGCCAAGGCTAGTATGATAGCAACTCAACCAGCCAAGCCTAGTGTGATAGCAACTCAACCAGCTAAGGCTAGTATGATAGCAACTCAACCAGCCAAGCCTAGTGTGATAGCAACTCAACCAGCTAAGGCTAGTATGATAGCAACTCAACCAGCCAAGCCTAGTGTGATAGCAACTCAACCAGCTAAGGCTAGTATGATAGCAACTCAACCAGCCAAGCCTAGTGTGATAGCAACTCAACCAGCCAAGCCTAGTATGATAGCAACTCAACCAGACAAGGCTAGTATGATAGCAACTCAACCAGACAAGCCTAGTATGATAGCAACTCAACCAGACAAGGCTAGTATGATAGCAACTCAACCAGCTAAGGCTAGTATGATAGCAACTCAACCAGCCAAGCCTAGTGTGATAGCAACTCAACCAGACAAGCCTAGTATGATAGCAACTCAACCAGCCAAGCCTAGTGTGATAGCAACTCAACCAGCCAAGCCTAGTGTGATAGCAACTCAACTAGCCAAGCCTAGTGTGATAGCAACTCAACCAGACAAGGCTAATATGATAGCAACTCAACCAGCCAAGCCTAGTGTGATAGCAACTCAACCAGCCAAGCCTAGTGTGATAGCAACTCAACCAGACAAGCCTAGTATGATAGCAACTCAACCAGGCAAGCCTAGTGTGATAGCAACTCAACCAGCCAAGCCTAGTGTGATAGCAACTCAACCAGACAAGCCTAGTATGATAGCAACTCAACCAGGCAAGCCTAGTGTGATAGCAACTCAACCAGCCAAGCCTAGTGTGATAGCAACTCAACCAGACAAGCCTAGTATGATAGCAACTCAACCAGGCAAGCCTAGTGTGATAGCAACTCAACCAGCCAAGCCTAGTGTGATAGCAACTCAACCAGCCAAGCCTAGTGTGATAGCAACTCAACCAGCCAAGGCTAGTATGATAGCACTTCCACCACTACATCTAACAAACTTTAGCTTAGCCACTCATGCTTGTAGGAATAGACACGCGAGCAAGTAGATATCCGCGCGCAAACACACACACACACACATATACACACATACACACATACACACACACACACACACACACACACACACACACACACACACACACACACACACACACACACACACACACACACACACACACACACACACACACACACACACACACACACACACACATATACACACAAGGCGTGGAGGAACTTCCGGAATAACAGAACACCAGAAAGCAGGGAGAGATACCAGAGAACCAGGAATGAGTACGTCAGGGTGAGAAGAGAAGCAGAGAAAAATTTTGAAAATGATATAGCAAACAAAGCCAAGACCGAACCAAAGCTACTCCACAGTCACATCAGAAGGAAAACAACAGTGAAAGAACAGGTATTGAAACTTAGAACAGGCGAGGACAGGTATACAGAGAATGACAGAGAGGTGTGTGAGGAACTCAACAAGAGGTTCCAGGAGGTCTTCACAATAGAACAGGGTGAGGTCACTGTGCTAGGAGAAAGGGAGGTAAACCAGGCGGCCTTGGAGGAGTTCGAAATTACGAGAGAGGAGGTCAAGAGACACCTGCTGGATCTGGATGTTAGAAAGGCGGTTGGTCCAGATGGGATCTCACCATGGGTACTGAAAGAGTGTGCAGAGGCACTTTGCTTGCCACTCTCCATAGTGTATAGTAAATCACTAGAGACGGGAGACCTACCAGAAATATGGAAGACGGCGAATGTGGTCCCAATATACAAAAAGGGCGACAGACAAGAGGCACTGAACTACAGGCCAGTGTCCTTGACTTGTATACCATGCAAGGTGATGGAGAAGATCGTGAGAAAAAACCTGGTAACACATCTGGAGAGAAGGGACTTCGTGACAAATCGCCAACATGGATTCAGGGAGGGTAAATCTTGCCTTACAGGCTTGATAGAATTCTACGATCAGGTGACACAGATTAAGCAAGAAAGAGAGGGCTGGGCGGACTGCATTTTCTTGGATTGTCGGAAAGCCTTTGACACAGTACCGCATAAGAGGCTGGTACATAAGCTGGAGAGACAGGCAGGTGTAGCTGGTAAGGTGCTCCAGTGGATAAGGGAGTATCTAAGCAATAGGAAGCAGAGAGTTACGGTGAGGGGTGAGACCTCCGATTGGCGTGAAGTCACCAGTGGAGTCCCACAGGGCTCTGTACTCGGTCCTATCTTGTTTCTGATATATGTAAATGATCTCCCGGAGGGTATCGATTCATTTCTCTCAATGTTTGCGGACGATGCTAAAATTATGAGAAGGATTAAAACAGAAGAGGACTGTTTGAGGCTTCAAGAAGACCTAGACAAGCTGAAGGAATGGTCGAACAAATGGTTGTTAGAGTTTAACCCAACCAAATGTAATGTAATGAAGATAGGTGTAGGGAGCAGGAGGCCAGATACAAGGTATCATCTGGGAGAGGAAATTCTTCAGGAGTCAGAGAAGGAAAAAGACTTGGGGGTTGATATCACGCCAGACCTGTCTCCTGCAGCACATATCAAGCGGATAACATCAGCGGCATATGCCAGGCTGGCCAACATACGAACGGCATTCAGAAACTTGTGTAAAGAATCATTCAGAACTTTGTATACCACATATGTCAGGCCAATCCTGGAGTATGCAGCCCCAGCATGGAGTCCATATCTAGTCAAGGATAAGACTAAACTGGAAAAGGTTCAAAGGTTTGCCACCAGACTAGTACCCGAGCTGAGAGGTATGAGCTACGAGGAGAGACTACGGGAATTAAACCTCACTTCGCTGGAAGACAGAAGAGTTAGGGGGGACATGATCACCACATTCAAGATTCTGAAGGGGATTGATAGGGTAGATAAAGACAGTCTATTTAACACAAGGGGAACACGCACAAGGGGACACAGGTGGAAACTGAGTGCCCAAATGAGCCACAGAGATATTAGAAAGAACTTTTTTAGTGTCAGAGTGGTTGACAAATGGAATGCATTAGGGGGTGATGTGGTGGAGGCTGACTCCATACACAGTTTCAAGTGTAGATATGACAGAGCCCGATAGGCTCAGGAATCTGTACACCTGTTGATTGACGGTTGAGAGGCGGGACCAAAGAGCCAGAGCTCAACCCCCGCAAACACAACTAGGTGAGTACAACTAGGTGAGTACACATACACACACACACACACACACACACACACACACACACACACACACACACACACACACACACACACACACACACACACACACACACACACACACACACACACACACACACACACACCCACACACACACACACACACACAGATAAAGACAGTCTCTTTAACACAAGGGGCTCACGCACAAGGGGACACAGGTGGAAACTGAGTGCCCAAATGAGCCACAGAGACATTAGGAAAGAACTTTTTCAGTGTCAGAGTGGTTGACAAATGGAATGCATTAGGCAGTGATGTGGTGGAGGCTGACTCCATACACAGTTTCAAGTGTAGATATGATAGAGCCCAGTAGGCTCAGGAACCTGTACACCAGTTGATTAACAGTTGAGAGGCGGGACCAAAGAACCAGAGCTCAACCCCCCAGCAAACACAAGTAGGTGAGTACACACACACACTCGAGCAGACCCGAGGATAAACACTTGAGAAAAGCAATAATATAAGCACTCCAGCAGACAATGAGTGAGGTCTGCGTTGTTGATAACGGTAGCTCTTGGGAGGGTGAAATACCTGTCTCTTGAAGCCTCACCCCACACACATCCCTATCCTTCCCTCCCTTCCCACACCCCCTTCCACCCTTCCCACACCCCCTTTCACCCTTCCCACACCCCCTTCCACCCTTCCCACACCCTCTTCCACCCTTCCCACACCCCCTTCCACCCTTCCCACACCCCCTTCCACCCTTCCCACACCCTCTTCCACCCTTCCCACACCCCCTTCCACCCTTCCCACACCCCATTCCACCCTTCCCACACCCCTTCCACCCTTCCCACACCATCTTCCCACACCCCCTTCCACCCTTCCCACACCCTCTTCCACCCTTCCCACACCCTCTTCCACCCTTCCCACACCCCTTCCACCCTTCCCCCCCCCTCTTCCACCCTTCCCACACCCCCTTCCACCCTTCCCACACCCCCTTCCACCCTTCCCACACCCCCTTCCACCCTTCCCACACCCCCCTTCCACCCTTCCCACACCCTCTTCCACCCTTCCCACACCCTCTTCCACCCTTCCCACACCCTCTTCCACCCTTCCCACACCCCCTTCCACCCTTCCACACCCCCTTCCACCCTTCCCACACCCCCCTTCCACCCTTCCCACACCCCCCTTCCACCCTTCCCACACCCCCTTCCACCCTTCCCACACCCTCTTCCACCCTTCCCACACCCTCTTCCACCCTTCCCACCCTTCCCACACTCCCCACCTTATCACTGATATAGGTAACATACAAAATTAAGAACATCATTCACCTTCAGAAGATAAAGTCATAATTCTAACATATCATCATACATCATTATAAACTGGGATATATCTGTACCCTGATGCTCAATACAAGGATATATCTGTGTCCTGATGCTCAATACAAGGATATATCTGTGTCCTGATGCTCAATACAAGGATATATCTGTGTCCTGATGCTCAATACAAGGATATATCTGTGTCCTGATGCTCAATACGAGGATATATCTGTGCCCTGATGCTCAATACAGGGATATATCTGTGTCCTGATGCTCAATACGAGGATATATCTGTGCCCTGATGCTCAATACAAGGATATATCTGTGTCCAGATGCTCAATACAAGGATATATCTGTGTCCTGATGCTCAATACGAGGATATATCTGTGTCCTGATGCTCAATACAGGGATATATCTGTGTCCTGATGCTCAATACAGGGATATATCTGTGCCCTGATGCTCAATACAGGGATATATCTGTGTCCTGATGCTCAATACGAGGATATATCTGTGCCCTGATGCTCAATACGAGGATATATCTGTGCCCTGATGCTCAATACGAGGATATATCTGTGCCTTGATGCTCAATACGAGGATATATCTGTGTCCTGATGCTCAATACAGGGATATATCTGTGCCCTGATGCTCAATACAGGGATATATCTGTGTCCTGATGCTCAATACGAGGATATATCTGTGCCCTGATGCTCAATACAAGGATATATCTGTGTCCTGATGCTCAATACGAGGATATATCTGTGCCTTGATGCTCAATACGAGGATATATCTGTGTCTTGATGCTCAATACAGGGGTATATCTGTGCCTTGATGCTCAATACAAGGATATATCTGTGTCCTGATGCTCAATACAGGGATATATCTGTGCCCTGATGCTCAATACAGGGATATATCTGTGTCCTGATGCTCAATACAGGGGTATATCTGTGCCCTAATGCTCAATACAGAGATATATCTGTGTCCTGATGCTCAATACAGGGATATATCTGTGCTCTGATGCTCAATACAGGGATATATCTGTGTCCTGATGCTCAATACAGGGGTATATCTGTGCCTTGATGCTCAATACAGGGATATATCTGTGTCCTGATGCTCAATACAGGGGTATATCTGTGCCCTAATGCTCAATACAGAGATATATCTGTGTCCTGATGCTCAATACAGGGATATATCTGTGTCCTGATGCTCAATACAGGGATATATCTGTGCCCTGATGCTCAATACAGGGATATATCTGTGCCCTGATGCTCAATACAGGGATATATCTGTGCCCTAATGCTCAATACAGAGATATATCTGTGCCCTGATGCTCAATACAAGGATATATCTCTTTGACATAATGTTCACTACATGAACGCTGCAGTTTGGTCAACAGTGATTTTCACAGTTCTATAGACATTCGTAAATGTATGAAACAAGACAAAGAACAAAACATAATATCACCCTGTCGTAGCTCAGTCGATTAAGGCAGTGTCTGGGATGCTCCCGGACGCAGGTTCGAATCCTCGTCACGGCCCTTGTGGATTTGTACAACATAATATCGTCTACATTTCGGAGCGAA